TTGCAGCGGAAGATCAGGTAGTAGGCCACATCGAACCGACAAATGGTCGTGTACAGTCGGACGTCCGCCTCCGTGATATTCTCCCCAAACAGGTATGGTTGATGGCATGGCTGTGCCAGGTGCTGCTCAACGCGGTCCAGGGCCTCGAACAGTGGATACACATTCGCGTCATAAGCCTCCTGCGTGGTGGCGAATCCGGTTTTGTACACTCCATTGTTAATCTTGTGATACACCCACTCATTCATTGCGTCAATCTCTGACCTCAGATGTGCCGGGTAGAATCCCCTGCCAGGCCGGTTGGCCTCACGCAGCTCCTCCGGCAGAAGATGGTCGAACTCTGTGTAAAACATCCTGATGATCTCGCCACTCTCGTTGTTCACGATCGTTTCCTTTCTCTTATCCCAAAGCATCGGAACGGTATAGCGTCCTTGATAGTCCGGCTGCGCCTTGAAATAGAATTGGCTCAACTTTGTGAACCCATACAAGGGATCTTTTTCTGCGGATCCCCATCGGCCAGAGAAGAACCAACCTTCGGGGCCCAGCTCGGGGTCCAGAACGACGAGCTGGATGATGTCCTCTAGGCCCTTGAGAGATCGAATCAGGTTGGTCCGGTGCGCCCACGGACATCCGTAGTTCAGGTATAGAACATAACGATCCCTTTCAGCAGGGAAGTCTGCATCAGGATCTGATGATACGGTCGAGCGGAAGGCGGAGTCCTTGCGTCGGAAGTGACCATCTGCATCAGCATGGCGATGCACTTGGGCTTCCTGTCACAGCTTTAGTTATCCCGTGTTCTTGACAAAATCATCAAGACGATCTATACCTGTTCCGCCATATTGCTGATACCCGAATTAGTTCAAAGCCGAAAGGGTAATTGATAAGTGAAGTAGCACCAGAAGATGAGCGCAATGCTTACAGTATCACCGTCCGAACTGTCAGTCAGCTTTTATTTACACACATGCTGAGGTCGGGGCGCTGACAAATCGCCACGATGATGACATCTTATGATGCGGGGCAGAGCTTGGAGACATTAAGCGAAGACTGAGCTATCATCATTCTTGAAGCAAGCGTGTAGGATATGCTAATGCCTGGATATAATGACAGAAAAGACTGCATCAGGAGAAAGGATGCCCCGACTTTTTTTTGGGGCGGTGCAGATGACACTGCACCACCTTGTGCTCGACAAATGGCGTGCAAAACCAGCGCATGGACACATTCCACCCTCAAGATTTCAGTCCTACAGCCTCGTTTCCTTCAGAACACCAAGTTTCTCAGCCACTCCAATCAGGCCGCTGTAGTCATGCTCGAGCCATAGGTCGACAAAACCCTCCTGTTTGGCTTCGGCAATCTGTTCAGCGGTGAAGCTTTCCTCCTGGGGCCGTTCGACGTAGATCGTCATGAAGCCTGCTTTTTTTGCCGCTTTGAGATCGTACAAATGCGCTGCTACCATACCACACTCACTGGGATCCAAGCCGAACCGCTTGGCTGCTCCATGATACGCTTGGAGGGCGGGCTTATAGGCTCCGAAGTGCTCAGCGCTGGCCACGTTCATAAAGGGCAATGACCCATATCTCAAAAGATCTTCTAAAAGGGACACATTGCCGTTCGACAAAGTACAAGTCTGGAAGCGACGGTTCAACAGCCTGAGGCCTTCGACCGAGTCTGACCAAGGGTCGAGGCGATGCCAACAGAGTGCAAGGTCCCACCGCTCTTCATCAGAGAAAATATCTTGGAGACCGTTCTGGTGGAGCAACTGCTGGATGGAACTATAATGATGTTCATCGACCGATACGAACGTCGATGATGACTGAAAGTTCTTTGTAAACCGGCCATAGGACGCGCGCCATTCTTCCGCAATGGCCTGCCAGTCCTCAGGGGTCATGGCCTGTACCCGTGCGCGGACGTCCGCTGGAAGCTGCTTCCCAGGATCGAGCAGAGCATGCTCGGCCGCTTTCATCAGGGCCCGAGTAACGCAGGAGCGCCATTCCACGACAGTGCCGAAGATGTCAAAGAATAGTACCTTTGGAAGTGGGCTGATCGACATGATGGGATGTATGATTTGACTCGTGTGGCGTACCTATCTAGCTGATGCAAGGTTCGGGTGTCACTGTCCGTGTTCCGTATCGCACAACGCCGCTGAAGGTGCCCGTCTGTCGGGACGTAGTTCTAGAGCTTTGAATCTTGGCGAATGTGTGTACGGGGTACGGAGGAAATGCGTTCTATAGCGGTACTTCGCGGGTCTGTAAGATATGTATGCAGCAGTGTAGCAGGATGTCCGAAGGCGCCGACCGAGCTAAAGCATCAACAACACTTCCTACTGATAATTCCACGGCTCTAGTTATTTGTCTAACCTATCTAGATATATGGATACGACAAGCCTTGGGGGGGAAAAAGAGAAGAAATCAGCGACGATGAAGTCATGAGGGGAAGGAATGGCGAAGGCGAAGAAAGTGTGCCTCGGCAGAAACATCAGCCAAGAGTTCTGGCGATGCAAAGTATGCAAATCGATCGACTCTCTCTCTCTCTCTCTCTCTCTCTCATGCTCTTTCTCTCTCCCATAGACTACTACCCCCTCCTTTCTCAGCTCTCTACCCCTTCCTCTCTGTCCCGTGTTCGAAAGGTGACGAGACTTTCATTACTTCTACTTGCCGTTCAGAGTTCGGATTAGACTCCCGACTGGCTGCTCTAATACGATTGTACAGAGACGGGAGAGGCAAAGAAAGTATTTAATGAGGTTCCCCCACCCCACAAGCTGCGGTGATCCCTGGATCTATCACATTATCACCATCCATCGCTGCTTCAGGTTAATAGACAGGAAAGTACGGGGTTACGTCTCACTGGAGGTCCGCGCATCGCTGGCCCTGCATTGAACGTTCACCGTTGGCTGACCAGGGCATCTTTTAGTTATCCTTTCCTGGATAATGACAGCTGCAGCCCGATGATCCTTCAAACGGCGTGATCTTGGTCTGTCTAGGACCGAAATAGCGACTCCCGTCGACTGTGCCAAGGAGGTCACGTTGGTCTCCTAGTCTAGCCAGGAAGACACTATCTATGTGATCGCCTCTTTCGGGATGCGTTGTTAGTACTATGATAGTTGATCCTGGTGCTCTCTGGAGCGACGCGACAACATCCGAGACACCAGCCGGACCAGTCCAGACCAACCGCGGATATTCTCCGGCGAGGTATTAACGAGTCACTACTGGATATTAAAAGATTAACACTAGTGTTATAGTTATTATTGTATACAACGATTTAATATGGACTGTCTAAGTATGATCCCTGTCTACTTCACACTGCAGCCTGCACAGCCGTTCAGGTAACGCACGGCCGACCTGTCAGGTCCGGTTTACCCCTGAGACGAAGGACGGAAGGCGCAAATTCCAGTCCGTCTTGCCGCGTGGGTCGCCAAGCTTGAAGCCGGCGCAGACTACAGCCGATTAGACAGCAAGCCAATTGGCTTTGGTACGTAACTGCTCACGTTCTCTTAATTGAGCCAGGGACGAATGTCGGATGCTGATTTGACTGGGCAATACCGGATTGATAACTAGATAGATACTAGCTGGCGACAAGTCCTTTTTGCTCCATTCCTTTACGATCTAACGCACATCATCGCCTTGCGTCACACGGACCGCGCGAAAAAGGTGATCGCAGACGGCAAACATCGATGGTCGCCAAGCCATTAAATGAATTCGATATGAATACATATCCACCCCAGAGGTCCGTGATGGTTTGGTGACAGGAAAGGCGAGTTTACTATAGATCCCGTCCGTTGACGTAGAAGTGATCACGAGGAGAGGTTTTCCCTCGCAGGCTGCCAACAGCAAGGAAGTCTGCTTAGGGTCATTCAGTCTCCCCGCCTCCCTGGTATGTAATTTCCGGACTGGAGACACTATCCAAAAGTTGAGCGCCGGGCCGTCTTTCAAGGTGGTCCTGAACCAGGGAACGGTGGAAATGATAAGTGGGGAGCTAAGCTGAACGGAAGCACCCAAGGATCCTTCCCGACTGTTCCTCTCGTGCACCCCTTCTGGTTTGTATTGGGCTCGGGAATCAACGAGCACAGGTAGTACTGTATGGCGTACAAAGCGCGGAAATTAAACGCCTCCCATGTGATTGTATGTCAAATGCTGTACTAGATGCCCTTGACAACTGAACCACCAACTTCCGGGACGACCAACTTGAAGGAACTCCGAGTCTACTCCGGGTCTAAAAGCAGATCGGGGGTAACAAGCGCTCCATCAGGACGTGACGGGATGGTTTTCCTGAATATAAGTTGCGCAGCTTTTTCTGGGGCTGGTGAAAGGATTCTGAAACATGGAGCACGGGCTTGTTGGAAAATCCATTGGTGGCTTTGAACAAGATGTTCTGAAGCCTCCCGCTCGCCATTCAATCATACGATTGGGGAGATGCAAACTTTCTTCGACGGCTAGGACACCCATCGTCGCGTCGGCTGGAGTCAGTCCCTGCAGGCTGGCCTTCACTTATTTCAGTGGCTATTCAACATCCACTATCAAGACGCTGGCCCGGTATAGCCGATAAATGGCAACGAGGCTACCAATATATCTTGGCCCTCGGAGAGAAGTCAAATTTAAGGCAATCTCACCAACCAGCAGGAGCAGAATCGAAATCGAGGAGAGGTGACGATCCCATTGAGTCCACCGGTGGACCCGACTAGTGATTGACACGAACTGCCGTCAAGTTCAAGTACTACTAACGACCTTCGCCCGGCAGTCTTTGTGCCGGCCGTGTTTTTAGGTCGACTTCGGTCGCGTTTTAGTCCACCTTAGCTTGGTCTTGTGGTTTTTTGCTTTTTCATTCAATTGGCTTATCTTTGTATTAATGCCAATTTTATTTTTGTTGGATTGTTTTTCCTTTTTCCATTTTCCCCTTCCTACTTCGTGCTGGGATTCCCTTGCCCCCTCCCATTGGATACACTTTTATCGGATTCGCACAAGAAAGTACAAAGTACACAGGGACGATCTTCAGCTTACCATTCTCCTTTTGATTATATTGATTAGTTTTATTATAATTTTTTTTTCTTTGCCCCCCTCGCTTTCGCTTTCGCGTTTGCCATCCCCTGTTCCCGCGGTGTGCTAGGATCAATGCATGTCGCCTTGTTTCAGATTCGACTCGAGTCCCTCTTCCTTCTGTAGACAGGTATCACTGCCTCTTGTTATTTTTATTACATATTATTATTTCCTGCTCGGCTGCTTTCTTTCATTGGCTATGCTTTTCCACCGACGAGGGTTTGGCTGTTACCAGTCCGCCGGTCACCAGCCATTCAACTGCAATGGCGGCGGCCGATCCGTCGCACTGTCGGACACATCCTCTATGACTTGCCTATTGGATCGAGATCCTCGAGCCCAGCTGTGGCAAGCTCTAGTGGAGCCGCTCGGTGGTTTCTCTCCTCACTAGTCATTGGGTGCGTGGAGTTGGCCTTCGGTTCCCCATCTTCCCCCTAACGAACACCCCTGGACGAAGCTAATGCGCTAGTTTGCTCTGGTTCTGGCAGACAATAACTCCGCTGTCGAATGGGCCTACCTTTATCACTCATTTACTGGGCTAGCTGTCCCCCGCCTGATGTATGGGCCATGGACAAGGTTCTTTCGTGCAAGGCCCAGTTTAGCTCTTGAGCCGGTGTACTCCAACTCACTAGAGGGTGGCCTGGCAAACAATCTCCCCTTTCCCCCCCCCCTCAGATCCTTTGTCTAGACTTCCGCGGCCTCTGGCAGGTAATAAAACTAAATATTTTGCGATCCGATTTCGCGACGCTGCTGCTTTCTTGATCGCCCTCTGATCCTGTTTCCCTCCATACATCCTGCCCCCCCTCCTCCCCATCCCCGCGTCGAGAGAGAGACCTTGACTCAGTTCATACTTTGCCCCCCCCTCACTGGCCTCTCTTTCCTAGCACACTCATTTGCATTGACGCGCCTGCAGCCTGTGCATTGTGAAGGTGGCAGGCCTTGAACTCTGATTCGATCGCAGGTAAGTACCATCCTTGTTTCTGCATACCTTATCTGGTCTCCAGCCCTACTTCCAACCGCGTTCCTTGGCGCTCGAAGCAGACACCATGTGCTGATCAGGTCTACTCTTCTGCGCCAGGAAGACTAGTAGCCACGACTCTTCAATAGATTTTGGCGGGTGAACGGCTGGCACATTCAGACCTCGGCCAGTCGAGCTGGTCCTTGCTGGGGACGTCGAGGAGCACAGCATATGTAAAGCTCATGGAAAGCGCATGACGCGGTACTACAATCTTTGGTTGCTCAGTTGCAATTGAGGGGATGCGTTGAGCTGTCGAACATCCACCGACCTTCGGCATACACACACAATGGCCACTGAGACCGTCTACTCAAGCCCTGCGGCGAGGGCCTTCCCGACGCCGTCTGCAACACCGCAAAGACCTCCTTCAATACACATTCGGGCAGATTCCTCCCCCGGCCTGTCGTCTTCGCCTAATTCCCTACCGATCCTGAATTTCTCGCCTGATGCCCGCAGTGACTATGAGGATACTGCTGACGAGGACAACTTATCGCCACTAGATCCGCGGCGCTTTACACCTACACTACATGCCTCACTTGTCTCCGAAATTCTTTCTCTGCGGCGAGACGTGGAGGGTAAAGCAAAGGCAATCGATATACTCGAACGGACTCTAGACGAATCACGAACGGAGAACGAAGGTCTTACTGAACGTCTATCCAAGAGCACTAAGGAGTCTCGTTCGCTCAAGCATCAATTGCAGCTGCTGGAAGGTGGATCTTCGTCCGCCCTCACTGAGCTAGCACGAGAGCGTGATGAAGCCCTAGAAAATATTACAGATGTCCGCAAGAAGCTAGAACAAGCCCAGAAGAAGGCACGAAGCCGTGAAGAGGAGGTGGAGAGAACAGCACAGCTTTGGAACCGAGACAAAGATGCTTGGGAAGGCGAACGGAGAAACTTGGAACGAAAAGTGCATGTGGTGGAAGGGCGCCTGAAGGTCGTGTTGAATGAGGTAGCCGCTGCTCAAGCAGCTGGCTCATTTCACTCAGGCCAGGATTCCGATGGCTCTGGGCGTGATCAGACCGCAACATTGGTAGAAGCCGGGAAAGACAGCGACTCTGCAAGTATTGACTCAAGAAGCAGTCAAGGGCATCGTCGGACCAGTGTCACAAGTGTGAGTGCTGACAGCGTCGATGAGACTGACTATCACAACGTGCGGTACTCTGTCGCGAGTGTAGCCACCATCCATGGTCTCAAGAGCGAGGGGCTGAGCTTGGCTCAAGAATTAGCATTTGACGAGGAAGACGAGTTCGAGTCCTTTGAAACCGATTTTGTACCAGAATCGCCCGAGGCACTTCCAGAAGAACGGCCGGCTTCCGTTCACTCGCAGTTTTCTTGCACAATGAGCATGGGTGCAAAGGCGAGGAAAATCCTCGGTCTTTCTCTGACCAGTGCAGATGGCCAGGGGTTCAAGGCTGATGGGGGCTCAGAGCCCAGTAGCCCTTTGAAAATGTCCACGACACCCTATGTGTACTGCGACGCAGGCATCCAGTATTCGCCTCCCCCGTCGCCCGTGTCACCATCAAAACCTGAACTACCGTCCGTGGAGCAGACCGCAGAGCGCCGTGATAGTAAAATCACGAACCACTATCAAGGTAAAGACAGTGGCACATCAGCGCTTACAATTGACATGGTATCGGCTTCCTGTCAAACTGTCGAAGACCTTCCCACTCCCCCATGGACTCCTAAACTGGACGAGACACCGCAGCCCGCCCCAGAGGTGACCCCGATGGTGTCTGTGTCAGTACAGACGGTGCAAACTCCTGTCGCACAGACAAACGACAAGGGAGTCAGTGCCTCGCCAAACGACATGGAGTCGCCCGAAATTGATATCCCAATGATCGCCATACACCCGCCACACTCGGAGCCCCCTTCGCCCCGAGGGAGCGTGGTTCTTCCACCCCAAACTAAGAGCGTTTCCTGCCAGGCTAACTTCACTCCGAGCATCGACAGTCGAACCATCGGCATCCAGACAGAAGAGATTCGGATTGATCAAAGGCCTGTCAAGTTACCGGCCAGTCTACTCCCATCAGCGATACCCGACCTCCCACTGGGCGAAAATGCCCAGGATCCTCCGATCCAGCCGTACCATGCCCCTCCTCCAAGATCAAAGAGACGGGAGAGCAAAGCATCTGTACGCACCAAGCCAGCCGAGCCAGTGCAAGCCTATCCGGGAAACAATGACAACGGCCCGCTGGCTGAGGGGTCCAAGTCAGAACACAAGCGGCCTCTACGATCAAGTAGCCTCTTTGCTGGTTTCGATCAAGCGAGTGATGAAGAGACCCCTGTGCAGCCTAAGGATGTCTTCACCGACGATGATTTCTTGAACCGGCCATTTGCGTCGTATACCTTGAAGAGAGGAAAGCTCGTCTCTACGCACGGACGTCCTAGCTTGGACGAGTCTCCTCTTCCGGAAATTGACGAGCATCTACGAGAAGCCGAGGCTGATCTGGCAGAAGCATCGATTGACCCAGGATCAAAGGAGGTAGTTGGACCATCTTCGTGGACTCAGCGTTTCGGCATTGGAGCTTCCGGGGCAAGGCAGCAGGATATCCGTAAAACAGCCATGATCTCCAGCGGGGCGGCAGCACATCGGATACCTCGCGAGCGGAGCCCCAGCGAGCCGAGTATGGAGAGTGGTAATGGTACCCATGGCATTGCACCTCCCATTCCTGTGCCGATGCGATTCAGCTCCAGGAAATTCCCCGGCGGGAGCGACGGACGGCAGAGTCCAACACCGTCCAATCCTCGCAACTTCTCGGATCGAGGAAAACCGTCTATTGTTCGACGTCCGACCCTACGCAGAGTTCGGTCTGCGGCTGCCATGTCGCATGTAGATCCGCATGATCGCCCCGGAAGCCGCTCGTCGCCAACCATGTCCTCATCGTCCTGTGGGCCAGACAGTCCCCAGTATCCACCCCTTCCCTACGACGACATCACTGCGCCTCCAGGTAAACGAGCTGTCCAAAGGGGATCGATTCGCCCACCGACAGCGTCTCGCCCCTTTGCGCACGGACGGCAGGACTCTACAGCCACCATTGTCCAACCAACAAGCGTTGTTGACGCGATTGCACAGACAATGGTCGGGGAGTGGATGTACAAATACATCCGGAGACGGAGGTCGTTTGGGGGCGTTGGCGAGCCGAAGGACAACTGGGATGGGCGGAATGCAGAAGAGGTATCTGCAAATATTACCAACAGCGGCGCAAGACACAAGCGATGGGTCTGGCTGGCGCCGTATGAGCGGGCAGTTATGTGGAGCAGCAAACAACCGACCAGCGGGCCAGCCCTGTTGGGTAAGAGCGGTAGGAAATGTAAGTTAACCTCTTCGTGTTATTATCTAACCTTGGTTTATTCATACTGACCTTAATCTAGTGGTTATCCAATCCGTCCTTGACGTCAAGGATGACAATCCGCTACCTAAAGGCTTTAACCCTCAAAACCAATTCAATCGGTCGATTCTGATCTTAACACCTCAGCGTGCCCTCAAGTTCACTGCCTCCAGCATTGAGCGGCACTATGTCTGGCTGACTGCACTGTCATTTCTGAGTCACTCATCCATGGGTCTCCATGACCTGGATTCCCTACCCCCAGTCCCGCAGGAGGAACTCGCATCACCCACCCACGCGGCCACGCTGCGCCGTAATCCAATCCGGGACTCTATCCGAATCGCCAAGGGCCGCCCACGCCCGCGACCCAAGGGAAAACGATCCCTTCTCAGTCAACCAGAGCCTGTACCTGAACTACCGCCTGCATTAGAAGCCGCAGAGTCGATAGATGCTGCAGACCCGCCGACAGTGCCACGGTTCTCGAACCATGCGCGTAAGCGCAGCAACACTTCTCCCCGCATGCCGATTATCCGCAGCTTCTCAAGCCAGGCTACCATGCCCTCAGTGGCGTCGACGCGCGGCTCCTCAGACACTTACGGTCCTGTAGTGCCATACGCCAACGGCAGCCTGGCCAGCGTCAGTCGCCGCACGTCTGAAACCAGTGTGCGGACTGGTAACTTCTTCGACGCCATTGGCACGGTCCGCATGGAGGCGTTCATCGACCAAACAAATGGATACAAGGGCCCGCGGTCTGCGCGACACAGTCGAAAGGGGTCGAGCGCCTGGAGCGCAAATCAAGAGCTGGACTCACCATACGCAGAGGGCCGCGGGCATCTCCGGCATGATCCGTTCGGAGAATTCTGAAAGGGCAGGCCCAAATTAGAACGCATTTCAAGCCCACATGATTCTAAGTGGATGCTATAGTTATCTTTATTATGGATTTATCAAGGCACTTCGGAACAAGTGCTCGCCGGCTATGGATACCACACTTTGCTCGTTCGTTATATTGGCGGGAATAGTATTTAGCTAGATAGTTAGCTATTGTTTAATGTTATTAGTAATAGACGGTCTAAGACTGTTTGAACCATGAGCAGTCTCCCCATCCGAGCAGCAGCAGCAGCAGCAGCAGCATCATCCCGACATCTAAAGTGTATATGTGTGATCGAACTTCAACAGCAAAAATCCCCATTCCAACAAAACAGATACACAAAAAAGACTCCCCAAATTTTACAACTTCGCCGCCTCCTTAACCTCCCCAATCTTCAACTTGGGCGTATACTTCTTCAGCACGCCCTCATTGTGATACTACAACAAGAAGAAGAACATATGATGTTAGCATCTGCCGTATTCAACATAATCCCAAACGCCAATTTCAAACCCAGCGAAAAGAAAGAAAAAGGAAATGATACAGAAAATACAGCTATCAAAAAACAGCAACAAGCAACCCAGACGGCATAGACAAGATAAAAGCGCAGAGACGGGTGTAAAATAGAAAGAAAGAAAACACAAACGCACCTTCCAAAACTGCTTCGAGGCATCCTTGCCTGCTACTCTCTTCAAGATCTTCGCGCCACCGGGATGCTCATCGACGAACTTGGTGACGTCGTAGACGCTGTTGTCGATGATGATGTACATTCCCTTGTCGGGATTGTTGTGCGTGGATACGTCGGCGGGGGTGAATGTTTGGGACATTTTTAAGTCTTTTATCTTTCACTTTTCGCTATTTCTTGTGGTCTTGTTTGGTTTGGTTTGGTGGCTGGGTGGGAGGATAATTATGTGGTGGTGGTGATCGTGGATGTTGAATAGCGGTGATTGTTGGTAGAGTGGATAGTCTGGAATCTGGAATCCGGGGTCGGAAAGTTGGGTGGTTTAAGTTGGCGGCGCGGGCGGAGGTGATGCGAAGATGCCGAGGTTGGTTTGGGGGGGAATGCCGCGGTCAGTTTGTCGCGTGTTGCAATCCGCCGGTTGTGATTGGGTCACGGCTGTGCACTACGAGTATTGCGGGAATTACCTTACTACTATGGGATTCCATAGGATAGATACTTGAGATGGCAAGTAGATGTACATGCATGCATACATACAGTAAAGGTTTGCTAGCTGTTCATTTGGTATCAACATTTGTGAAGAAAATAGTTCTACTATATTCTCTCGCATCCTCAATTCCGACTCTTTTCGCCCGCCGCGCCTTGCCCCTTCGCCATCTTCTTCTCCAACCCCAGCGTCTCCAGATCCTTCTTCTTGTAATAGTGTGGCGCCACCTCGACCAGCCACTCTGCCTGCAATGGCATGTTGCTGCGCATGTACTCCTTGCTGGTCAGCACCAACTCGAAGTAGATCACCCACCGCGGGTTGACTTCGAACAGCGTGCTGGATGGGTGGAGGTACACCGTCTGTCCATTCTTCACTGTGCGATAGCTGTCGCCACCACGCTGCAGTCGCGCCGCGTTGGGGAAGAATCCGGCCGTAATGGCCTTCTGGATCGGCTGCAGATTGTTGGAGCCGCAAGTGCTCACGGACACCTCGACTCGATCGCATAGCTTCGCGAGCTGGTCGCGGACATCGCGCGCCCGTGTCAGACTCCGTTGCTGGAGGAAGTTCTCCTTGGCCCAGACATAGCTGAAGTCGGAGTCAACCCATTGGTTCCAGATATTGAGCAACGTGAGATGATCGCCGCCATCTTTGATGGTGAAGCGATTCCGCGCGCTGTCCGCGTGGATTTTCTTGTCCTTAGGCCGGAAGAAGAGCGCGCTCGCCTCGCCCAACATCGACACGATGGACAGCACTTCTTCCACGCAGCCGTACTTGTCGGCTGCTAGAATCGCCTTGGCCAGCATGGGATCTGTGGGGAACTCGGCCATCTGTCGCCCGATCTTGGTCAGCTCGCCTCGATCGTTCAGCGCCCCCAACGCATATAGCTGCTCCAGGGCACGAATGATTGTTTCTGCCGGAGGAGGGTCCATGAAGTCGAAGTCCAACAGCTGGTCAATTCCCAAGGACTTCAGCATCAGAATGACACTGCTCAGGTTGGTCCGTTGGATCTCGGGCGTTGTGCTTTCCTCCAACTCATTGTAGTAAGCCCACTTAGTATAGAGTCGGAAACACTTGCCCGGGCCGACACGTCCAGCACGACCGGCTCTTTGGTTAGCGGAAGCTCGCGAGCAGGGAGTGACAACCAAACTTTCCATACCCGTCCGCGGGTTGAAGACGTTCTCCTTGACGAAGCCTGGGTCAATCACGTAGACAATGCCGTCAATAGTCAAACTCGTTTCGGCAATGTTCGTTGCCAGCACAACCTTCCGTGCCTTTGGTGGCGTCGGTTCGAAGATCTTAGTCTGTAGCTCGGACGGGAGGTTGGCGTAGATTGGACATATGATCATTTCGGGTATCTTGTTCCCTAATTTTCGCGATGTTTCCTGGAGACTCTGTTCCGCCGCCTCAATCTCTTCTTGACCTGTCAAGAAGACGAGGATATCTCCAGGACCCTGAGTGACATGAATTTGGAAGACCGTCGTGATAGCCGCAGCCAGGTAATTCGCTTCCGGCTGAGATGTGTAGTGGATATCAACGGGGTACCGACGACCGGGAATGTTGAAGATCGGAGCGTCGTCAAAATACTGCTGGAACTTCTGAGCATCCATCGTGGCGGAGGAGATCAGCAGTTTGAGATCTGGCCGTGCCTTCGCAATATCTTTCAGGAGACCACAGGCAATATCCGTGGGCACCGTTCGCTCGTGCGCCTCATCAATCATCAATGCAGAGTACTGGCCGAGATCGGGCTCCGTCAAAAGCTCACGCAGCAACATACCATCCGTCATGTACTTGAGCACGGTCTTGTCGCTGGTGTTGTCCTCGAATCGAATGGCATAGCCAACCTCGTTCCCCAGCTTCACCCCCATCTCTTCCGCCACTCGAGAAGCCACACTCATGGCAGCAACTCGACGCGGTTGTGTACATCCGACCTTCATGCCGCCCTTGGTGAATCCAGCCTCGTGAAGGTACTGCGGAATCTGCGTCGTCTTACCCGAACCAGTCTCTCCCACAATAATCAAGACTTGGTGGTCGTGCACTGCCTGGATGATCTGATCTCGGAATTGGTAGATGGGCAGGCTCTTCCGCGTGTCCTCCATTGACTGTGCCTTCTTCTCGGCCGCATCAATCTGCTCTTGAAGCCTGCGCTGCTCCTGCGTCATAGGCTTTCGAGTGCCTTCCATCTTGGCATCCACAACGAAGTTGATCTTCTGCGAATCGTCAAACACGTACTCATAATCGCCCTCGTCAACGAATTCGGCTCGGTTGATCTGTGCCTTAGCCTTGGCTGTCTGCTCCATCTCCCATTCTTCGTGCTCCGTAATGAAGCGCTCCTGACCAGCGTCATCGCGATCCACATAACGCTTGTAGAGCGCGTCTTCCTTCTTCTTCCGATCGATTTTGCCCTTCTCTGTGATATAGTCCTCGGGCATCATATAACCATCGCGATAGTCGTCAATCCGCAACCGCTCCTCCGCAATCCGCAAAACTTCTCGGTTACGCGCGAACTCCTCCTTCTCCTTGCGGGTCAAATGGAGATTATCACGCAACTCTGCCGTCTCCTCGGCGACCTGTCTGCGCAAGAGGGCCAAGCGCTCCGTCTCACGTTTCTTCAGGTACTCCTGTCGCGAGCGCATCCTTAAGTCAGGCATGACAGCCGCCCGCGCAGACGCATCATCCGCCAATGCTCGTCGCCGCGCAGCCTCACCAGACCTTGTCCGATCCTCGACGATCTTCTTCGTCTTGCCATCATCCTTCTTAGCAAGGCGTTTCGCGAATTCATCTCGTTCCTCCAGGTCGCGTTTCCGGTCTTGTTCCTTCTTCGCCTCTGGATCCAATTCCTCAGAGGCATTCGACCGCGGCGACGCCGACCCATCCTCCAACCGAGTCCGTTTGGAAGGCGACTCCTCAAAATCACCCGCCTGCTCCTCATCATCGTATAGTTCATCTTCAGGTATCTCCTCATCTCCCCAACGATCATCAAAGTCATCGGCATTCCGTCGCCGTACCTTCTTCGTCCGAGGCCGGTCGCGAGATTCCTCTTCCCGACTGCGATCGCGTTTGCGGCTATCATCCTTCTCCCAGCGGCTGCGACCGCTCTCGCTATCCTTCCCGCTTCTTCCAGTGCTCCGATCTTTATCTCTGCGTCGCCGTCTGTCCCGTTCGGCCTCGACATTCGCAGGGCCTAGTGACCCCCGAGCCTCGGGTACGTCATCATCCTCCATCTCCAGCAATCGGTATTTCTTCTTTGATGAAGCAGCATCACTGCGCTCTTTGGTTGCTACATTGGCACTAGTAGCGCTGGACCCGGCCCTTACCCCAACCCGTCTGTAAAGTTCGCCGCAAAACGAACCAATGTCATCGGAGCTACCGTCCAGAAAAGGGAGCAGCTTGTCTTGCAAAGCGGAAGCTGACTTGGCGGAACTGGCGGTGGCAAGCACGAAGTCGACGACGGTAGGGTCCGACGCGTTCGTAAGGCGCAGGAGAGAATCCGACACGAATGTTCGATGATCCATGTTGTGAGTATTAATTTTCTCGAGGTTGCACAGCTCGAATTAGATAAAACCGCAGATACTAATAGATCCTAGAAGAGCTTTATGATTGCAAAGTCTAAGACTTTAGCATTCAATGGTGAGAAACTTCCAGTTCGAATACTTCAGTGATGGGGCTTTAAATCGAGCCGCACATCGTCGCCGCGTTATTGAGAATAAGGCCAACGACAACAAGAGGATGGCAAATGTCCACTGAATTCGATGTAGAATCGGCGACTTGTTATTGTAAAGTCGGCCGTAGCCGTCGTTAGAGAAAAGCTCGGCGACACAAAGGCGTTGGAGATGGTCGGGGAGACGCAGGCAAGATGGAGGTCGCGGCGAGGAACTGCAAGAACGCCGCGGCGGGCGCCAAGAGAATTTAGGTCGGCCAGTGGCGAGCCTCCGACGAAGCTGCTCCAACTCTCTCTACCTTTTTCCATTGCATACAATGTATACGCTATTCGGATGATTTAAATTTATTTACGCGATAGTTAATTGGGTGTTCTGGTTCGTCCAATTCAAATGTACATTTCAATATTTAATTCACAAGCATTATCCTGTTCTCAAGCCGGCTTGATCACGTCGAGGCGGTTTCTCGTCTGCCAAGGACACATAGAATGGAGTAGTGAGGACAATAGGAGAAGGCAAAAGCACGCGGGGAGGAAAAAGGTATATCGAATCAAGTGAACACAATGTCGAAGAGAAAGTGGCGCACACGCCAAGGATATTTAATACACAGACATCTAGAAATAGGGTAGTAGAGGCCATCAAACGCCCAAAGTGCACGAGCAAGTACTACTCCAGTGCTCTCGAGTCACTCCAACAAAGGAAATGAAGCATCAATAAAACAAAGGTGGTGAAGAGAAGAAGTGTTGTGGGAATCAAGAGCGGAAAAGCAAAGACAGATGGCAGGCATAGGATTATAGACATGTTGCCTCGGTCATCCTGCGTCACGAGGTTTTCAACCTGCAGAAGACATAGGTACATGAAGGGAAGGAAACGCGATAGGGAGGTGGAAAGAGAAAGAAAGAAAAAAAGGAACAGAAGCCTATCATCATCGCTAAATCAACGAGTCACGTTCACAAAGGAAATTTTGAGGAATGAGTGGACAACCACCCCTCCATGGGACTAGCATATCGGTCATATCAACATCGTCCAAATCATGAAGGATGGTCGGTAGTAAAACATCCCGATCACATCAAGGTCATCGAGTGAAAAGAGGCATTAATATCAAAAGCTCGGTTCTCCGCATAAACGCCGTCATTAGATGGTACTGTAAAGGGAAAGCGCCA